CACAATCACACATTTTTTTCCCATTAGAGGATTTTAAAATCTATACAATATACACATCTTATGTTTCAATGTGAAAATAATATATTTCAAATATTCAAGATGGGTGCCACTTCTATGGACATGGAAGTACATGAGTAAACTCCCAGAGAAGCATATCCAGAAAACACCATCCAGATACACAGAGTATGTTCTCAGGAAAGACCATTGGCTGGTGTGACGGCGCGAGTGGTGCCGCCTATGTGTAGAACTGTTAGTTGCAAGATTTAAACTGTTGTATCATGCTTAATCCTGCCTTTTTACCCTACTTATGTATAGTTGGATTGATTGGTTATTTATAGCTGTCAATCAGTGTTTGCACCAGTTGAATTGCTTTCTCAGCTCAATTGTTTGGCTCCACCTCTTCCTGGAGGAGGGGAGTGCTTCCCTTTTTCATTCTGCTATCAGAGTTTCTATCACACGGACGTGAGTAAGAGACTTGGCTCTAAAAGCCCCTGATTAAGTTACCTCTCAGCACCAATTCTGAGGTTCTTACCCTTGAGACTTATGCTTCATGTTCAGTCCAACCTGAACGACGTTGGGAAGTCTCAAGTGCCTTCAAACCGGTTCTTTTGGCACCAGAGGAAGACCCTGAGTCTTCAAATCATAGGCCATTTGGACTGAGGTTGTGTTTATTCCAATATCCACAGCCATTGAGAAAAGAGGAAATTTGGAAAAGCTTCTCAGCTTCAAACTCCTTGGACCCAAGACTGACTGAGACTGTAAGGTTTCCTTCACCCCTCTGAAACTTCCAGCTTACTGCTTTAAAGAGATAACTCTTTGTGAACAATAAAACTTATTTTGAGTTATCTACAGTGTTTTGGTTTTTGGGAGTTCCAGTTTCCTAAAGGAGGGCAAGAAGCAATCCCCTGGGGAAAGATGTCACGTCCATGCCTCTTTCACTAAGAGCTGGAATTCTATTATTTATTTACTATATTTAGTATATTTACTATTGGTTAGTCCTAATTCCGGGAATCACCGCTGAATGAGGAGTCAGGCCCCTTCTACACTGTCCTAGATCCCAGGTTCTGATCCCCGATTATCTGCTTTAAACTGGATTATATGAGTCTCCACTGCCAGATAATCTGGGATGAGAAGATTATTTATTCATTTATTAATTTCTTTATTATATTTGTATAACACTCTTCTCAGCCCGCAGGCAACTCAAGGCGGTTTACAGATGACAACAGTTCAATGCCCACAATACCTTAAAATATAATTAAATATAATTAATTACCTGGGATTAGATATAATTAATCTATATCTAATATAATTAATCTGGGATTAGATCCTGGATTATAGGTCAGTGTACAAGGGGCCTTAGTACTCAAACCAATCCCATTAATTCAATGGGATGGATCTACACTGCCATATAAAATCCAGATTATCTGCTTTGAATTGGATTATATGGTAGTGTAGGTTTTCGAACTGCTAGGTTGGCAGAAGCTGTGGTTGACAGCGGAAGCTCACGCCGCTCCCCAGATTCGAACCTGCAACCTTTCGGTCAACAAGCTCAGCAGCTCTGTGCTTGAACCCACAGCACCACTGGGGGCTCCAAATATGGTAGTGTAAACACATATAATCCAGTTCAAAGAGATAATGTGGATTATCCACTTTGATAATCTGGATTATATGGCAGTGTAGATCCAGCCTGGGTCACCCTGAGTAGGACTAACTATAGTATTGAGGTGAAGTAACTTTCCCTATGGGTTTTCCATACAGATAGACCAGAAAGCCAAAGGGAGAATTTAGGGTCCTTCCAGACAGGCCCTATATCCCAGGATCTGATCCCAGGTTTTCTGTTTATCCCTGATTATCTGGCAGTGCAGACTTATATAATCCAGTTTAAAGAAGAAAACCTGGAATCAGATCCTGCGATATAGGACCTGTCTGGAAGGACCCTTAGTTAGACTCTTTCTACACTGTCATATAAAATCCAGATTATTTATTTATTCATTTATTTATGACATTTATATACCGCCCTTCTCACCCCAAAGGGGACTCAGAAAGGCTTACTATATATGTGTGTGTGTGTGTGTGTGTGTATACACACACACACACACAATATTATATTATTAGCATAGTACAATATCAGTATTATATATTACTGTATTGTATCATACCATTATTATCTGCGTCGAACTGGATTATATGGCAGTGCATACTTGTATAATCCAGGTTAAAGCAGATAATGTGGATTATCTGATGTAATAATCTAGATTATATGGCAATGTAACCTTAAGGTCCATGTCAGTCCTAGGAATTAATGGAAGAAGGATCCACATGTACATAGAGGCTGGAAGCTCTGAAACAAGGCATCAGGTCCCTGAAAAAGGAAACGTTTGGGATGTGCCAGGAGGTCACACCAGGCCAATGCTCAAGTGATACACACAGACAACTGTAAATTGCAATTCACTATATCTATATTACAGGAAATTTTACATTAAACGTAACGTAGGAACAGTAACTTAACTGGGTTGTTGTTGTAGTTTTTTCCGGGTTTATATTGCCATGTTCTAGAGGCATTCTCTCCTGACGCTTTGCCTGCATCTATGGCAAGCATCCTCAGAGGTAGTGAGGTCTGTTGGAACTAGGAAAATGGGTTTATATATCTGTGGAATGAGCAGGGTGGGACAAAGAACCCTTGTCTGTTGGAGTTAGGTGTGAATGTTTCAACTGACCACCTTGATTAGCATTTGATGACCTGGCAGTGCCTGGGGCAATCTTTTGTTAAGAGTTGATTAGCTGTCCCTGATTGTTTCCTCTCTGTTGTTTTGCTGTTGTAATTTTTTAATACTGGTAGCTAGATTTTGTTCATTTTCATCGTTTCCTCCTTTCTGTTGAAATTGTCCACATGCTTGTGGATTTCAATGGCTTCTCTGTGTAGCCTGAAATGGTGGTTGTGAGAGTGGTCCAGCATTTCTGTGTTTTCAAATAATATTCTGTCTCCACATTGGTTCATCGTGTGCTCTGCTATGGCTGACTTCTCTGGCTGAAGTAGTCTGCAGTGCCTTTCATGTTCCTTGATTCCCCCAGGCACAAACAGGCCACACCAAAAAAACTGCCAGGCCATCAAATGCTAATCAAGGTGGTCAGCTGAAACATTCACACCTAGCTCCAACAGACAAGAGTCTTTTGTCCTGTCTTTACTTGCAACTTTTTACCAGGGCGACATATCAAGGACAACATAAGGACAATATTAAATGCCTTTGAGTATTATGATAAACATATCCAAAAAGAGGTGAGCTTTTTGTTTTTGGATGCAGAAAAAGCCTTTGACAAGGTTAATTGGAACTTTATAATGGAATTGTTAAAAGTAATGGACATGGGCTATCAGTTTATTAATGCTATTAAAGCAATTTATGCTCAACAATCTGCAAGAATTATAATAAACGGACAATTATCAACATAATTTAAAATAAATAAGGGGACTAGACAGGGATGCCCTTTATCCCCATTGATTTTTATTTTGACACTAGAAATCTTATTAGAAAACATTAGAAACAACCAAGATTTAAAAGGACTGAGTGTAAAATAGAAAAAATATAAGACGTGTGCGTTTGCGGACGATATGGATTGGATATTGGAAGACCCACTAGATCAGTGCGATAAATGCTGGAAGATAACAGACACATTTGGAGAGGTGGCGGGCTTAAAAATTAATAAAGATAAAACTAAATTTCTTACAAAAAATATGCCAAAAAAGAAAAAAAAGTGTTACTATTCCTGACGTCATGAACTAATGAAGAATCTCCTAGAATATAGAAATTGTCACTCTGGAAGCTCTAGTCTCTTGGTGCTTTTAATATAGTGATAAGCATCCTTTCATATATAAATAACTAGCTGTCCCCTGCCACACGTTGCTGTGGCTCAGTCTGTTGATCTGGAAAATAAAGTAATGAGAAAGTGTTGGTTTCTAATATATGTAATGTCTTGATGCTTGTGTGTAAACAGTATTTTTTGCTGTTTCTTTGTCAGTGTTGATGTAGAGATTGTCTAGTTTGCCTACTCTGGAACATGCAACATATCATTGTCCTTCTTTAGGGGTCCCTTTCAAATCTATGATACTATATCTGTGTGTGTGAATCATATCTATCTATATATATGGCTGGATGGCTCTTTGTCAGGAGGGCTTTGATTACGTTTTCTTGCCCTGGTGAAGGGAGTTGGACTGGATGGCCTTGAGTATTTTCCGTCAGTCATGGGGGTTCTGTGTGGGAAGTTTGGCCCCATTCTGTCGTTGGTGGGGCTCAGAACACTCTTTGATTATAGGTGAACTATAAATCCCAGTAACTACAACTCCCAAATGTCAAGGTCTATTTCTCCCAAACTCCATCTGTGTTCATATTTGGATATATGGAATATTCGTGCCAAGTTTGGTCCAGCTCCATCACTGTTTAAGTCCATGGTAGTGTCTGGATGTAGGTAAACTACAACTCCCAAACTCAAGATGAATGCTCACCAAACCCTTCCAGTATTTTCTGTTGGTAATGGGAGTTCTGTGTGCCAAGTTTGGTTCAATTCCATCATTGATGGAGTTCAGAATGCTCTTTGATTGTAGGTGAACTATAAATCCCAGCAACTACAACTCCCAAATGACAAAATCATAATTTTTTGAGTGATGGTCACTCCTTGTGTTGTGAGATGTTTTGTTGCCAAATTTGGTGTGATTTCGTTCATTGGTTCTTTTGTTTTTAAGGTACTCATTATGCACAGAGCATTTATATAGAGAGAGATTACTAATTAGTTTAGTTACCGTTCCTATGTTACGTTTAATGTAAATTTTCCTGTAATATAGATATTGTGAATTGCAATTTACAGTTGTTGTCTGTGTTTGTTGCTATAGATATCTGTGCAAATTACACTTTCTACGATGCTCAAGTGATGTCAGGCTGGCGACCACGGTATGCAACATCCGAAGGGAAACCCACAACGGTCGACATCCGTCTCAATCCTCTATGTGATTTTTCCTTCAAGACATTATGGAGGGAACCATTATGAATACTTCAAAACATGATGGAGAAAACCAAACAAGTAATTGCACCAGCTGGTGACACTCTTTGTTTGAGCCCATTCTTCGAGTTGCCTAAAAATGTTCATCAATGGAAGAGATTATATATTTTTTCTTTGAAAAAGGAAAACATGTCAATCTTTTCGAAAACCCAATTGATTCAAAAGTGCTTCAAAGTACTCAGAGGGCTAAAGATTTACAGGGTGAGAAGTACCGTCCAGCACACTTGAGTCACCATGAAAAAAGTGCGCCAGAATTCATTAATAAATGCTTAATTAAATGGTTTTGTTAATGCATGCAGCTTGAGGCATCGGAGCGATGCACAGTAACTAAAACCCCAATTTACACAAAGTTCCAAACACTTACCACAGCGTTTTAACCTTCATATTTTTACCAGTAACAACAGCTGATTATGCACCTCTATTAAACACTGTACAGTTTTACAAAACGAGGAGAGAAAGAGGGAGAAAAAGAAGTCATTTAGGCCAGAGTGACACCCCAGAGTTAAAACCAAATTTATGTGCCAAGAACAGAAGGAAGGAAAAAAAAAGTAGCTTTAAGGCAGGTTCTGACAGTTTTCCTCAAAGCCACGTACAGTTGTTGACGTTGTCTTTTGTGTGTCCAAAAGCAAACGCTACTGCTTCTCTAATTCACAAACGTACAGAAGGTGATCCTCGGGAGATTTCCCGTGTGTTTTACTGAGATGGAGCTTCACAGCATGCTTGCTTGCAAAAGTCCTGTTGCAAAGTTTACATTGGTACGAGGTCCCTATTTCTTCCTCGGGCGAAGGCGCCAACAGTTTTTCGGAGGGCGACTTGGTTTGTGCTATCTGATTGTTTAACTGTTCGCTAGATAGTTTGGACAAGTCCCGTAGCCGGAAACCCAGGTGTGATTCAAGGTGACTGATATACGTCGAAGGAGTTCGAATTTGTGAAGCACAGTCATTACAAAAGAACACCGGGTGCCCAGTGTCCAAATTTTTAAGGAATTTGGTCCCCCCTGTCCTTCGGAGCTGGTATTTCACATTGGCCAACCAGTGACTAATGGTGGTCATCGAGAGCCCCGTGAACCTAGAAATGTGCATTCTCTCCTGTGGGCTCAAGTCCGACATGATGTATTTCCCTTCCGACGTCTGTCGCAAACTGGCCGCAAACTGGGCCTGCAGAATGAGCAAGTGTTGTGGGTTCCAGTTGGACTGGCGGCCCTTCCTTTTCTGAGCCGGGGTCGTCTCTTCTGGCTCCTCCATTGTCGCACCGTCAATGTCAGACTTCTCAGAGATACTGGAAGGTGTGGAAGATTTTGATGTGTGACTTTCTGTCAGGTTCTTCAGCATATCAGAGATATCTGACAAGGCATTCTCACGTAGCGGCGAGTTTGACATGAATGACACAACCGCAGATGTCTTTGCCGTTGTCACTGTAGATGAAGAAGATGCCGAAGATGCCGATGTGGATGACAAAAGCACTGAACCCAAAGAGCAGCTTTTGTCACTCTTGCCTTTCGTCAAATCTATGGGCTGGTCATTGTTGACATGATAAAAATAACGGTCTAAGTGGTCTGGCTTTTTGGACTGCAAAGGTGGGGTGGCCACGGCCGCCTTTTCTGCCAAGCTGTTGCTCATTTTGAAAAGCATGCTCATTGGGTCCAGGGCAGGCAGAGAGGGCTTGGCTGCCTTCCCAAGATGAATATTCATGACAGACTGTAATGCACTTAATGGGTTTACAAATGGCTGTTCTGGAGGGTGGTCCGTGATAATAGCCGTGCTGCTACTCAAGGTACTTGGGATAGCCTTGACCAGATCCTTGCCATTTTCCATCGGCTCCCCGTTTGGGCTTTCCTTGCAGTTCTCTCTCTGAGAAAGTGGGCTGTTCTCTTGGCTCTTGAACCCAACGTCATTCGAGGTGTCCATCTTGAGGGGTTCACTGACTTCACTGCTGCACGGCGAAGGCGTCGCTCTCTTCATTGGGGAAAGCTTCCCTCCTTCAGGCTCCTTCATTTTCTCTTCCACTTTGGCCACCTTCTCGGTGACTTTCTTAACCAGCTCTTCCATGGCATGGAAGTTGGTTTTGGGCACAGGGGATGTTTGGCTGCTTGGGGGCGAAATGAGTGGCTGGCTTTTGGTTGGAGAAACCATTTCCGCATTTCCATACATAGCTTTTAAGGGAGTATTTTTCCCGGATGAGCCTAAGGACAGCTTCATCATATTCGGAAGTTGATAAGCAGCATGGATACTGGGATAGCCACCCCAACTTGGCGTGCCATTCTGGGCTTTGTTGATAGCGGACGTGACTGTGTTTTCTAAAGACTTCAAAATATCAAGCCCTCCTTTTGGACTCTCCTCCAGGTCATTTTCAGTCAAGTAATGATATTTGGAAGAGATGTCATATTTTTCTTCCTCATCGCCCAGTTTTTCCTTATCTTTCATCTTCTCATCCAGAGTTATTTTCTCCTTATCAACTTCCTTCTTGATTTCCATGTTCAACTTGGGGGAAATGCTGGATGGAGTGTTGGAAGGAGAGGTGAAGGTTGTGGCTGCAAGAGGCACAGACTGCACTTTCTCATCAAGCAACGTGGTGATGGTCGGCGTGACGGGGGCTTCTATGATGGGCTTCCCTTTCTTCATGGCCGAGTTGGTGACTTTAATAAAATGTCCGGTCACCATCATATGGGCAGTGAGTTCCTGCAAAGTGTCATGGGAACTCCCACATTCCATGCACTTGAGAATCTGAGATTTCCTTGCTTCAAAATGCCAAGCATAGCTGGCACCATTTTGGTGTCCATAACGATTATTCGGCGTGATGTACGGGTTGGAATTCTTTTGAAGCGCATCATTGGCGTCTGAGATCGTTGCTTTGGGCGTCCCACCGGTGGAGTCTGGAGAACTGGGAAGCTCTAGCTCCAGTGAGGTTTTCTTTCTAGTAGCTGGGATAATTTTTGCTGCTACGGGGGTTACGGGTTCCTTCAGAGGCACTTTTTGGTAATGTTTTGTTTTGATCATATGAACACTCAAGTCTTGAAGCGATTCAAATGAATGCCCGCAGTACATACACTTCAATACTTTCTGGGCATCTTCTTTCCCTTCCATTTCGAGCAGAGAACGTTTACGGGGCTTGGACCATCTTTTAGGGTTATTGTTATCCGTTTCGTGGTTGTCATCCCGATAATGTCCTGTTTCATTCATGTGCACGGTTAATTCTACTAAAGTATCATAGGCAGCACTGCAGTCTTTACAGCGGAATTTACTGGCCCCGGTAAATATAGAGCCGTAAAGCTTGCTGCTTTGTCTGTACAATTGAACTGTGCTAAAAAGGCTGGGCTCGGGGAGGATTCGGTTCTGCGAAACTTGCTGCAGCGTTTTCGCCATGGCCGTCTGGTGCCAATCGAAGCTGCCGCTCCCACAACTGCTGCTGCTGCTACTGCTGCTGCTGCTGCTCCCGTTGGTCTTCTCGGAGGTCGGCTGGTGGAGATTCAAGTTCAGATTGGACCAGTACGAGTTGGAGAGGAAGTTGTTATAGACGGCTTTCATTTGTTCCAGGCTGTCCGACACAACGGACTCGTCCAGCTGTATCGAGACCTCTTTAGTCTCCTCCTCGTTTTTGATGGAGCCGCTCTCAAAGTCAGCCATCCGGTCACTCGTCTCGCTGATATGTGACTCGCTGTCCATTTCGTGGCTGGAGAACTCCGCGGCCGGAGAGTTCTGATAGCTCTGGCAGTTCTTGCTAAAGTCCTTCTCCGGACAGGCGTACTTTGCCGAAGGTTCTCCATCAACCGCGTTCTCGTCGGGTTCTAGGTCATCCTCCACCATTGCAGCCTCCTTTAGGTCATCCGGAACATAAGCTGTCAAGATGGAGAAAAAAGGAAACAAAAAGAAAAAAAATCAGAGTTAGTAACTATTGGCCTTGCTTTATATTAGCAGCTGGCATGTTCCCTGTCAAAGAAATACATTTATTTATTAAAACTAAATAGTTAAAATTTAGCATTTCTTCCAAGTAAGCGGAAGAAGAGGGGGGAAAATCTGCTCTTCAAACATAATTTGCCACCTTATTCTTCTCAAGGGGCAACAGCTTGAAATTAAAACTAAATTTGAAATTAATGAAGCACATTCTGGAGGTGGCATTCATTTCTAAAGTAATAAATTACTTGTATCAACCTCAGAGACAGCAGTTCCTGTCTGTCAATTAATATGTCTTATGCTTCTCCTACCCCTAATGTATTTCTTAACAGACAGATTCACAATTTAAATTAAGCCAGATATTTTTTTTTACTCATTACATTTTTGAGAACCAATCTTTAATAAAACATAAAAACATCAATAAAGAATCCCACAAAGCAACAACAAGAAAGTACCTCCTCAATTATAGGAAAATTAAAAGCTTGTATTTGCATATTGGAGAAGCTTAGAACGGCGGGTAGGACACTGAGGAAAAGCTCATTCCCAGAGGTTATGCTTTACGGGTTCCAAAAAGGGATACTACTGAAAGTTTGCACATTCTGTGGCACATGGAAAGATATCCCATAGTAGGAATAGACAGCTCCCCAGATAATTTTCGCTCCCAGCTATGACCCAAGATCTAGTCCTTGCACTTTACTACTGGTCCCCTACCCATAGATATAGTGCTCTGCCCCATATTGACCTCTATTCCTAGCTTTGTCATCTGGCATTTATTTATTTATTTATTTATTTATTATTTGAACATCTATGCGGCCACTCCCCTGGGGCTTGGAGCGGCTTACAAGAACAGGCTAAAATCTAACACAATTTAAAAACCATTTAAAACAATTTAAAAACAGCAATATCAGAGATCAAAGGCCCGTCGAAACAGATATGTCTTCCATGCCCTGCAGAAAGCTGATAAGTCCCGCAAGGCACGGACTTCAGGTGGCAGAGTATTCCAGAGTGATGGTGCCACTGCTGTGAAGGCTCTGCATCTGGTTGCTGTAGACGCAAGGTCTTGACACTGGGAATTTCCAACAAATCTTGGTCCTCAGAACGGAGGGATCTCTGGGGTTGGGAGGGGGTGAGGCGGTCCCTCAGGTACATCGGCCCCAGACCATGCAAGGCCTTAAAGGTGAGTACCATCCCTTTGAAAGTGATCCGGTGCTCAATGGGTAACCAATGCAGCTGCAGTCAGATTGGGGTGATGTGGCATCTCATCAGAATTCCCGCAAGAAGCCGAGCAGCTGCATTTTGTACCAACTTGAGCTTCCGGATCACCGACAGAGGAAGGCCAATGTAGAGGGCATTACAGTAGTCCAGTCTTGAGATGACCGTGGCCTGGATCACCGTAGCTAGGTCGTCCCTGGACAGGGAGGGGGCCAGCCGTCTAGCCTGCCGCAGGTGAAAGAAGGCGGTTCTGCTCACGGCGGAGACCTGGGCCTCCATCCTCAGCAGAGGGTCCAAAAGGACTCCCAGGCTCTTGACCAACGAGGACGGGCGTAGCGCCTCGCCATCCAGGGTAGGCAGCTGGATGTCCCCACTACCCGGTCGACCCAGCCATAGGATCTCCATCTTCGCTGGATTCATCCTCAACCTGCTGCCACACAGCCATCTATCAGCACTATATCCATCAGCCCGTCCTTGCAACTGAGTTGCACCAGCCCAGAAACTGTTTACTAGGCTTGTCTGATTAAAAACAAGCTCTTGTCTGATCAAAAACAAGCACTATATCATTTCAGATATAGTGGTTCGATTCGTAAATCAATTCCGATTTTCACAGAAAACAATGTTCAAAACTTTTCAGAACTTCTGAGACTTCCGAATCCTTCCTTAATGGTTTGAAAGTGTTATTTCCTGTTTCATTGGGTGGTCTTTACTTTGAAAGTAGTTGTTTAACTCCAGAAGGGGGGGGGGAGGAGCAAAGGGAAGAAATACATCCAGTTTGTTTTTAAACTCGGCCCAGGCTCCAGCTCAGAATGCAGGGAAAAGCTGGATAATTTCCGACTCACTGCTTCATAACAGAAATGGTGGAAAAAGCTTTGGAAGGGCAAAGGGACGTCCGGTTCCCTTAAAAACCTCGAAATCACTTAAAAAAAACCCCAAATCTTTCCAAATTTAATCCGAATTACGAAGATTCGGACCGAACCTAACCATGCCTACTGTTTACTATATCAGGCTACTGGTTGTTTGCTCGATGGTTGTTTTTATACTTTCTTATAATGTGATTGTTCCAGTGTGCCTTCCCAGAATAAGGAAACTCCAAGCATTTTGTCCCCAACGCACTTTATCAGAGATTCATGATATCTGCATACTAGGCTTGGGCGGTTTCGTTCATTAATTTCGTAATTCGTTATTAATTCGTATTTAAATTAGCTTACGATCCAATATTGAGCCATGCAGGAATAGTGTGAGGAGTAATTAAGATTCGAAACAATTTTTTCAATTTATTTCGTAATTATTTCGTAATTATTTCGTAATTATTTTCGCATGTCTGGTGCAAGTTTTATAGTTGTTGTTTGTTTTATCACACCAACAGTCAACAACAGAGGGAGAGGGAAGCTTCAGAAGTTCCTCCTGTCCCATTTGGAGGTTTTTTTTTTTTAGCATATTGCGCAATCTCGTCTGCCATTAACGAATTGATTAGTAATTTTACGAAATTTCGTAAATTTTGAAATTTTTTAGAGGTAAATTTCGGAATTATTAAAAAAAACGAAATGCAAGGGCCCCCTAAAAACAGAACGAGTTTAGAACCAAATTTTTCCGTGGTTACCCAAGCCTACTGCATACCCATCCCTCTCCAGACATCCACCCTTTTCTCCTGGTCATGCCCAGCACTTTTTAATTTTAATTATTACATTTGGCCCTGCCATAGTTTTTAATTGCGTCATTGTGTGTTGTTAATGTTATTGCTTTGTTTTTGATTATTTTGCTGTATTGTTGTTGTTTTATTGTTGTATTTGGGCTCAGCCTCTTGTAAGCCGCACCGAGTCCTTCGGGAGATGGTAGCGGGGTACAAATAAAAGTTTATTATTATTTTATTTGTCTATTTTATATTGTTTTATGATGCTGTTTTATCAATTTTATTGTGTTATATTTTAACTATGTTGGTTGGGCTCGACTCCATGTAAGCCACCCCGAGTCCCTTCCGGGAGATGGAGGAGGGGTACAAAAATAAAGTTTATCTATTTATTTACAATATTTATAGCCCGCCTTTCTCAGCCTTACAGTGACTCAAGGCAAGCTATAAGTTGGCACAATTCGATGCCACACATCCATAAAAGTGCAATTAAAAACCATCAACATACCAATATAAAAACATATATAAAAACCATTAGAACATCCAATCATCAGTGTCATCTTGTTAAAAGCATTTCCATAACATTTTCTAGCCATTCCATGTTCATCAATTCATAGTTCCATGTTATCTATTCCGCTGTATTCTCAAAAGCTTGCTCAAAGAACCAAGTTTTTACCTTTTTTTCAGAAAGTCAGGGGGGGGGGAGGGATGATCTAATATCCCTGGGGAGGGAGTTCCATAGCTGGGGGGGGCACCACTGAGAAGGCCCTGTCCCTCGTCCCTGCCAGTTGTGCTTGCGAGGCCAGCAGGATCGAGAGCAGGGCCTCCCCAGACAATCTTAAGCTCCTAGATGGTTCATAGGAGGAGATACATTTGGACAGGTAAGCTGGGATAGAACTATTTACGGCAGCAGTTTTCAACCTGGGGGTCGCGACCCCCAGGGGGGTCATTGGGCCATTTTCGGGGGGTCGCGAAGCTGCCTTGGTCGGCCCCGCCCCTGCCAAAATGGCTGCCGACCCCTGCCGTATGAGCACAGCCTTTCTGCTCACCCCCTGCGCCTTTTCGAGTTCGGAAGGGCACAGGGTGTGGGGCGAAGGGCTGCACTCACAGCCTTGCCATGAGCGCAGCCTTTCTTCTCGCCCCCTGCGCTTTCCAAGGTCTGTTTTCCCCAATCTCCACCAGTGTTCACATTGGGACATATTGAGTATCCATGTGAAGTTTGGTCCAGATCCATCATTGTTTGAGTCTGCAATGCTCTCTGGATGCAGGTGAACTACAACTCCAAAACTCAAGGTCAGTGCTCACCAAACCCTTCCAGTATTTTTCGTTGTTCATGGGAGTTCTGTGTGCCAAGTTTGGTCCAATTCCATCATTGGTGGAGTTCAAAATGCTCTTTGATTGTAGGTGAACTATAAATCCCAGCAACTACAACTCCCAAATGACATAATCAATTCTCCCTCCAACCCCACCAGTGTTCAAATTTGGGCATATTGGGTAAGGTAAGGTAAAAGTTTTCCCCTGACATTAAGTCCAGTCGTGTCCAACTCTGGGAGTTGGTGCTCAATTTCTAGGCCAAAGACACCTCCAAGGTCATGTGGCTGACATGACAGCATGGAGCGCTGTTGTTGGGTATTTGTACCAAATTTGGTCCAATGAATGAAAATACATCCTGCATTTCAGATATTTACATTATGATTCATAACAGGAACACAATTACAATCAGGAAGTAGCAATAATATTAATTTTATGGTTGGGGGTCACCACAACGTGAGGCACTGTATTAAGGGGTCGCAGCAGTAGGAAGGTTGAGAACCACTGATTTAGGGCTTTGTTGTTTTTGTTGTTGTTGTTGTTGTTGTTGTTACTATTATTATTTATCTCAATATGAGCTCTCCCCAATTACCAAAGGGGATAACGTACAGTACCGTGAAGCTAGAATGGTTGTAGATCCCTCATCCAGTGTGGTGGTTGCTCCACCATGGATCCAATCTCCCACCCTTTCTATCTTTTCAATGCTTGCTAATGACTCTATTGTGAGGTCTTCTTTTTAAAGTAGAATCAACACAGGCGAAGCCAACCATTGTTCAATTTTTCTTGTGGCC